GGAAAGGTGACATACATGTTCACCTGGGTCTACACAAAACCATATGGGCAGCTGCACTTTGAACAATTTGGAGCTTCCAGATATTTTTCAAAAGCAGCCCTTATAGAGCTCCATGTGCAGTGGTGATTTATTAATTGGTGGCATGGCGTCCCACATAGTTTATTACTTTTATGAATTGAAATTGAAGGAACATCCCTGTGCAAAACCTTATGATATTCCATTGTAAAAGTTTTTTTCTTTTTATAATCTTAGCTAGTTTCCCGAAAACAGCTGATATTACTAAAAGGTGTTTCAGCATAAATGTAGGCTTTATATCTAATGTAAGCCACTCTGTCTTTCAAATGTTTCTAGTTGTGGGAGATAAAATAATATTTGTGTCAGAACCCATTTTTCCTGGGGGGGGGCGGGAATCTATTTCATTTTTTATTGAGGGTCTGCCATTCTCCTGAGGGGGAAGGGGAAGCCTCTTTGGTATGTTCTCTATTTCACTACAATGTATCCTTCCTGCTGTTTCTACATACTTGCTCTTTGAATTATCTCTCCCTTGATGTTACCTTGGGGTGAGAAAGGAATGTACCTCAGGCCATCTGGCATATTTTTCGCTGTGGAAGGGAAGGTGCAAAGATCCAACAACATCTTCACAAGCATGGGAATGGACCCCGTTATCAGCTCCTTTCCCACAGCAGATTTAACACCTGAGGATTGGCCCATTCAAACATACCTGATGAACTATTGGGGTGGGGTTTGCGTGAGAATCCTTTAACCTATTGATCTGAGTGGGAAACCCTCAGATCCTGCCTATTATGCCTGCGATCAGCTTCTCTAATAAAAGTTCCTTTTGGAAAGAAACTGTTCCAAGAGTCCTTCTTTCTTAGGATGAGATTTTGAAGTGGGCCCTGACAATTTGTTAGATTATGTTAAAATGTTTGCAACCGAAGGTTAGAAACTTCTGTTGCAGGAAACCTTTTGAAGATTTTTAGTGAGCTTAAGGTAATCCAAATATAAAATACAAAGCAAAATAAAAATAGAAAATTAGGGGAAGGAACAAAAGAGGAAAAGAAAATATAAGGTACAAAGGAAAAAAGAAAAAAGCATTGACTTCCAACTCTTTTTAGCACAGTAGAAGATAATAACATTATAAGCTCAACTTTTTCTTTTACACATTAGTATATACTAGCTATTCCTATAACAATGAATCTATCTAATCAACAAAAGTTTCATTTTTTCATCACAACACAAAATCCAAAAGTGATTTCCAAATACAAAACATAATTAAATATATTCTTCTCTTTGAATAAAGCAATCCATTTAACCAGTTCTGCTTTTTCTTCCTTGCTGTGGGAAAAAATATACATTTCTGTTTGCACTTAAAAATCTTTATAAACTATCACCATTTATATTAAGAAAATTCACTATACTCTTTCAGACTCTTTAACCTTAGAGGGAAAAATATTTTTTAAGATCTATTTTAAATCTATTTGAAAACACTAAACTTTTATTTAAAAACATTTCTAAAGTCAAAAAGTTCTAATACATCTTTGTAAAAAAATTCCATTTAATGTACATTAAAGTTTGCTTTCAGTCAGACTAATAAAATTCCAAGTAACTCCAATTAACTCATAGAATAAAAAAATTCTTCTTGTATACATCATTTTAAAAACCCTAAACTTTTCTTTAAGCTAATACATATTTTTCTTTAATTTTCTCTTAACACAGATAAATACACTTTTGAATGATGGTAAATCTTGTAATATTTATTAAGCTTCTAGTAATTTAGGATAATTATTAATTATCCTAAAACTTGTAATATTTTGCAAGTTTTAGGAATTATTTATGCATTATATATAAAGGGAAAAAAACACATTTTCAAATCCACTTTACATTAAAATTTTCATTCTATTGCAAATATCAGACAGATGAAAATCCATCCTAATTCCAATTGACACATTATGTTTAAGTCACTCCTTCCAGTTTATCTTCATAAAATAAAATCTTTTTCTTCTTGGAATGTTTATCAAGTAGTCATAAACGTCTCAAGGCTGTCTCAACTTTGTTAGTGCCCATGAAGAAAAAGTCCCAAAATTGTCTCTTTGAAAGCTGCATGTTTTCTTGGAACTCTTCTTTCAATTATATTGGGAGGTTTATGTTTAAACCATCAAAATCAAGATTCATGTTGCAGGATCGCTGGTGGAATTACACGTAGCACTCCAATCCTTCGAATCATGATTGTTTAATAACCCAAAGTCTATACCAGATCACTTTTTTGTCAAACTCCTCGCTGTTCCCGGGGAGACCCTCAATTCACCGGCACTTGGCTCTTGGTTGTCAATCCACTCCTGTATCCATGAGGGAGGGGCATATGTTTCAGCAGGTGGAGAGTTACTCTGCTGCTGGTTATTCCCTGTCTGGGTGTTTCCAAGGCCCGACTCCTCCGTCAACCCTCTTTGCCGAAGGCACGTAATGTTACATTGTTTTTCTCCGGAGGGACGGTCATGCATTGCCCATGCTCTTAATATTACATGTGCTGTGCATAGGTCCACATGTCTGTTGATGGATTCTTCGTTAGAGAGCCACGCCTCTTTAAGGAGCCGGCCCCCCTTCGTGCTGTCACTGGCCATCACCTGCACGTTGCTGAAATCGAACCTATGCCCAGATTCTAGCATATGCGCCCCGATTTGGGAATACTGGTCGCCTCTCCTTACCACCAACTTATGCTCGTGAATTCTAGTTTTGACACGTTTGGAGGTCTCCCCCACGTAGTTAGCAGAGCAACCTTCACAGTTGATCCTGTAAATGACATTGGACTTCTCCATGGTGGGGAGTGGATCTTTCAATCTCATCACCTTAGATCGCAGGGTCTGGTTGGGGTTATGTGCCACCCTCACATCATAGGGTGCCAATATTCTAGCCGTGGCTTCTGAGACGGTGTTGATATACGGGAGAGTGATACGAAGTCTCTGTGATGTATGTTCTTCTGTATGGGACCTAATGGGGAGGGAGGGTCTGGATGATAGTCCATGGCGCCTGATGAATTACAGCTTGCAACACAGAAACTACGATCAAAACGCAGGTGGATTGGCTGGGACCCATGACGAGGTCAAGAAGCCGGGTGCAAAGAACGCCACACTTATAAATAGCTTCTCCCATCGACTGGAGACCACCCTGATGATGCTGGCAGATGCCAGCAAAAGCTTGGTTTTATTCTGGTTTTATTAAAACTTTTTATAGTTTTATAACTTCCTGGTGTTCGTATATTTTATTGTTTAATATATATATATATATATATATATATATATATATATATATATATAGGTCTTTGGTTGTTCGGGTTTTCTCCCGCGTAAAATTGGAAGTGTCTTGGCAACGTGGTGTGGCTTTGGGTTTGACTTTAAAAATACCAGAACCATTGCCAAAAGTGAACATTTTAATAACAGAATAATCAGAGAAGCCATCGAGATAGAAAAAAACCACACAGGAGGTCACCACCACACATCCACGCAAAAAACAAACCCAAAGCCACACCGATGACGAGGCACGACCACAAACCAGAAGCCAGACCACAGCTGCATCATTAGCCACTTTAACCCCCCCAATCCATACATGAAGCAAACTGACACCCTCCATGAAGAAGAAGCACGACCATGAACGCGAAGCCAAAAAATAATAAGGCAGCCCAAAATCTCAAACCCCTCTGCAACTCAGACTAACCTGAGCACAACCAAACAGAACACTCCCCCAGCCAATCAGAGCACAGCCAAGCCCCTAACCATTCAGAACACACCTCCACCCAATCAGAACACAGCCAAGCTCCCACCCAATCAGTTCATACCCCCACTGGCAGTTAAAAGGAAAAAACAGCTAAGACCACACATTGCTGCTCAAAGCACGAAGCTGAAAACACCAGCCTGAAGATGACGAATGGGACTTCGTCGAAACGTCGCCAAGACACTTCCAATTTTACGCAGGAGAAAACCCGAACAACCAAAGACCTACATATATATATATATATATATATATATATATATATATATATTTACAGTATATCCCATCTTTTTACTTAACTCAAAGCCGCAACCATGTGCAATTCACCTTCCTGGTCATATTTTCCTGACCACAACATACCTGTGAGATGGGATGGGATTGGAGACAGTTTTTGCCTTAACGTCATCAACCTGGCTTTCAAGTCCAAGCAAGGACTTGCACTTATGGTCTCCCATTTTCTAGTCCAATGCCTTTAACATTAGACCAAACTGAAATACTTTTAAACATAGAAATTATATTTAATTATATTAAACCTCTATGAAAGAAGAGTCAGGATTGCAATGGCACCATATCAAAGTCTTTCCTGAAATTGCACAATAAACCACCTTTAATCTTCCAAGTAGGTGAGAAATGCAGTGCTTTTTTTGTTAAAAAAAAAAAAAAGGTGCTGGAACTCACACACATTATACAACCTGCCCACCCTGCAAGGTTCCATCCAAAAAAGGTGCTGGAACTGTGTTCTGGGCATTCTATGACAAAAAAAGCCTTGGAGAAATCCATCTTCACTTCTTCATTTCTATAGACAGTGAATTGCAAATGAAAATCTCCTAGAGCAACCGCATCTCCATTTCTTTTGTGGCATCTTCAAAGCAAGATTCCCTATCTTCTGTAGGGTCTCCAAATTTCCAAGTTCTCATACAAAAAATGTTTGAGTGAAGGGAGCAAAGCCATTTCAAAGAAGTCCTCCTCTCCTTATCCAAATCAACAATCAACACACATATTGCTGGCTGGAAAACATCTATAAATAATTAAACAATCTTTGAAAGAGGTTGAAAATGCTACAATAAAACACTTCTTTTGATATGGGCAATTATAATAAATCTTGCTACTAAGAATAATCTTCCACAAAGCCTTGTTTGACAGAAATAAAACTTCTATATATATCCTGTAGACAGCAAACAGTCTTTCTATTCCTTTTTGTGAGCAATCTTTCCTTTCAAGAAAGTTCACATAGGATACTAATTTCTCTTTGTGAGTTGCTCCCTGTGATTGAGGTCAGGCCTAAAAACAATTATGTAGCATTTTGGCAAAAATATGCATCCCAGTAATGCAGCGCTGGAGGACAAGATGGAGAAGATCTCCACAGCTACCATGGCTTTGCCTTTTGTGCTCAGATAGGCTGGAAAGAAGGAGATCCATACACAGCAAAAGGCCAACATGCTGAAGGTGATGAACTTGGCTTCGTTGAAGCTGTCAGGTAGTTTACGGGCAAGAAAAGCCACAAAAAAGCTGGCAATGGCCAAGATACCCATGTAGCCTAAGACACAATAAAAGAAGAAATCTGACCCCTCATTGCATTGCAAAATTATTTCTTGGAGTTCTGAATACATGTCCAACTCAGGGAATGGTGGAGATGTTGACAACCAAATAATGCAAATCAATACTTGAAAGAGAGAACAGGAAAGGACAGTGTAAAAAGCCACTCTTTTCCCCACCCATTTCCTCATCTGAGATCCTGGTTTAGTGGCCATGAAAGCCACAACTACAGTGATGGTTTTAGCCAAGACACTAGAAATGGCCACTGAGAAAGTGATGCCAAACATTGATTGTCGGAGAAGGCAGATCACTTTGCCAGGATGGCTGAGAAAGAACAAAGAGGAGAGAAAACAGAGCAGAAGAGAGACAAGCAGGGTGTAGGTGAGGAACCTGTTGTTGGCTTTGACAATCGGAGTATCCCTGTTCTTAATAAAAGTTCCAAGTATCCAAGTTGTCAAGAAAAAGAAACAAAGAGCTGCTGAGGCTAAACCAATTCCTAGGGTTTCTTCAAAAGTTAGAAATACCATCGCTTTCAGGATACATCCATTCTTTTCTTTATTTGGATACTGATCTTCTGAACATTCAAAACAGTCATCCATATCTGGAAGAAAAATCAAGGATACTTTTTCATCTAGGCATTTCATATTACTGAAAATTGTCTTATTAATTTTATGCCTCCAAGTAGTTTATTAAAGTATGCTTAATTCTAATAAAAAAATGATAGAATTCCTATCCTACCATTTTGATTTGAAATCTTCCCTTCTGGACATGGAACACAGGCATAGCAGCAGAATTGTTCCCCCTCAATCCCTTTCTTCCAGGATCCAGGGAAACAAGGGTCATTGCATCGAGAAAGTGGAAGAACCTGGTGATAAGCATAAAAGGTTTTGAAATTGGGGGTATTTAAAACAGTTTGTAATTTTTCTCCTTTATTGTGGGGAATTATTTTTGACTTCTGAAAGAATACTTAATTTATCAACTTCATCAACAAGTTAAAATGATATAGAAATTACAGTGATGTACAAAAGGTCCTTTGTGAAGGGCAGGATGATTAAATAAGTGCACATGTTGACAATCTAATGGAAAAGTGCTACTCTCATGACTTAAAACACAAATGCTAACCAAATGTGCAAATATGGCTTTTACATTGTTATGTAAGTGCTTCATCATCAGCAATATTTGAAAAGAATATGCCATTGTTTCTTTAAAAAACCAGAAAGCAGATTTGAAAAGAGATTGTGTTCAATATGGGACCATGATGAATTATGGCATTGTCGATTTACCTGGTTAAAAGCTAGATTCCAGACGATCACATCTTCATCAATGAGTAATTCCTTCCCTTTTGGGGCCTGTAGATCCAGCTTTCCAACTCTAACTCTCTGAAAGGATCTGTTTGGAAAAGTGATCAAGTTGGTGATGTCGAATCCACCTGTTGCTTTTCCTTTCTTATTCAGGAACACTCTCTCCCCAACTGAATTGTTAAAAGAAATGCCTTGAAGAAATGAATGGAGCTACTTAAAAGGAAATAGAAGAGAAAGAAAATTGAAAGGCTAATAATGGAGAAGAGAACACCATATTCAATTTTCATTCTTACCATTCCTATAACTATTATTATATATGTATGCTTAGAAATTTGATAATTGATATTGCGTGAAAATAATTAATTAATTAATTTTATATTATTTTAAGGAAAGGTAAGAAGGAATTGAAGCAGAATGAAAATACACTTTTGGAAATAACATTTAACACAGTTTCCTTCAGTTATGATTTGGGTTTCCTACTGAAAGAAAGAGATGGGACTACCAGACCATCTCATTTGTCTCTTGAGAAATGTATATGCAGTTCAAGAAGCAACAGTGAGAACTGGACACGGAACCACAGATTGGTTCAAAATTGGAAAAGGAGTCTGGCAAGGCTGTATACTGTTGCCCTGCCTATTTAACTTATATGCAGAGCACATCATGAGAAAGGCAGGGCTAGATGAATCAAAATTTGGAATTAAGATTGCTGGGAGAAATATCAACAACCTAAGATATGCAGATGATACCACTCTAATGGCAGAAAGTGAAGAGGAACTAAAGAGCCTCTTGATGCGGGTGAAGAAGGAGAGTGCAAAAGTCGGCTTGAAACTCAACATTAAGAAAACCAAAATCATGGCATCCAGCCCTCTCAATTCCTGGCAAATAGATGGGGAAGAAATGGAGGTAGTGACAGATTTTATTTTTCTGGGCTCAAAAGTCACCTCAGATGGTGACTGCAGCCAAGAAATTAAAAGATGCTTGTTCCTGGGAGGAAAGCTATGGCAAATCTAGACAGCATACTAAAAAGCAGAGACATCACCCTGCCATCAAAAGTATACTCCAGACCATCGTTTTCCCAGTTGCAATGTACGGCTGTGAAAGTTGGACCATAAGAAAGGCTGAGCGCAAAAGAATTGAGGCCTTTGAACTATGGTGCTGGAGAAGACTCCTGCGAGTCCCTTGGACTGCAAGGCGTTCAAACCGGTCAGTCCTAGAAGAGATCAACCCCGACTGCTCTTTAGAAGGCCAGATCCTGAAGTTGAAACTCAAATACTTTGGCTACCTAATGAGAAGGAAGGACTCACTGGAGAAGAGCCTAATGCTGGGAAAGATTGAGGGCAATAGAAGGGGACGACAGAGAATGAGATGGCTGGATGGAGTCACTGAAGCAGTAGGTGTGAACTTAAATGGACTCCAGAAGATGGTAGAGAACAGGAAGACCTGGAGGAACGTTGTCCATGGGGTCGCAATGGGTCGGACACAACTTCTCAATTAACAACAACAATTAACAACAACAACTGAAAGAACTAATTCAACCTAATCCATATATAATCTTGCCTCATTGATACAAAGCTATTTTAGAGTTTCAGGTCTGACTAAATTCCTCTAACAAAATTTTAGAATCTGAGATTTCTTTGATAGATAGATTAGTGGTAGAGATAATTGCAAACATAGGTGTGGTTCATATTATTTATACATATATTAAAAAGACCACTTTTATTTTATTCCTCTAAAACCCTGATAGAGACAGAAACTGCATGAGCCACATAAAAAGTTCTTGGAGAATTATTTTTGGAGGGGACAATGAAAAGTAATTTAGATTATCATTTTAATTATCTCTTATTTTGGAAGCTATGCTGATTAACTAAATAACTCCTGCCCACATCTAAACCATAATTCATAGAGTAGCTTCTTGATGATCAGAATAACAATAAAAACAGAAACTGTTATTTCTATAAATAATTTAGATATAACAATAAAACACAGTTGGAAGGAACCTTGGGGATCTTGTAGAACACCATGCTCAAGGAGAAGATCCTGTACCATTTCACACAATTAGCTATCCTTCTCTTCCTAGAAATCTCCAGTGTTGGATCATCAACAGCTTCTAAAGGAAAGTAGTTCCACTATTTAATTGTTAATTGTTCTTGCAGTGAGGAAAGTCTTCCTTATTTCTATGCTGTTTCTGATACTTGATTCCACGTGCAGAAAAGATTAAGACTTTCTACAATGAATTCAAAAGATAATTCTACATCAAACTGTTCATTGAAATGAAAGCGGTATCAAATGCAAAGGGAATACCTGCCAAGCCTGCAGATATTGAAAATCGGGTTTTTTATCCATCTTAGTTTTCTTTCTATTGAACTCCAGAATGAGTAGACCTTGCAAAGCATGAGCCACAGCATAAACAGCATTGTAGATACTATAGCTTTGGCCAGTCATTTCCATTTCAAATACAAGTGCAGGAAGGTCCTCCAGCTTCATCTCCCCAGTGCATTTCCTACTCTGCATTTTTTGTAACTCTGATTTTGGAAATGAACAATCAAATGATTGTTCCCAAACTTCCTGCAGAAACCCATCTTTGTTGTTTGAAAGAGGATTTGCAGTCTGAAGAAATTTCTTGAAACCTACAACTGCTCTTGAATGAACAGTGAAGGAAATAGCCCCATGGAACATTTTGAGATCCCATGTGATTTGAAATCCTGATAATATGAAATCAATCTGTGCAGTCATGATCCACACCTTTCTAAATAATGCAGTTTCCTTGCTCTCAGGATCTGCCAAAAATGTGACAAATCTTAACCACAAAATTGCCCAGGATTCTCCATGGACAAGAAATGCATTGGTTTTGCTGTTCATAAAATTAATGGAGATAATTGAGACTGTATGATAAAGTTCTTGGAGGTCTTCTAAGTGGATCAGTTGTGCAAGCCTTTCTATGAATGATGAGCAGATTCCGTTCTCTGAAAGTAAGGGCTGTATTTTCTGTAAGAAATTTTCTCCATTATTGTTATCAACAGCATAAATCCCAATCCACGTCCACCCGAAATGGTGAAGTAGTTGGATAATTCCAATGTATTGATGGTCCTCTTTTGGGACCATGAAATAAAGTGAAGAGAGCTTACTGGTCTGAAATGCATCTTGGGCCAATGAGCCATATGTCAGCTAAAAAAAAGTGGAGTACAATTCTGTTCAAATATTAAATTGAACTTATTTTTTCTAGTCTAGTTTTCCTATAAAATATATCTAAGAATTTTGTTTCCTAGCATTCTTCTAAATATTAATACAAAAGAAATGTGCTGGAATTACTTCAAGCACATTTAAAAGATCAATTGTTTTAATATGGGCAAAGAGTAGTACATTGAAATCTTCCCTTAGATATGGAATGTCTCTAGATATTCAATTCCTGTAATTGGCATAGTAGTATCAGAAAAGAATGCTACGTAGTAGACCTTAAGACATGCAGAACATCCTAACACAAACCTAAGTCTTTGATGCTCATTAATTATTCCATAACAACAACAACAACAACAACATATAGTTTTTTTGTACTCAGCCCCATCACAGCTTACTTGTGAAAACTTGAAGAAACCCATTATTTCAGAAATATAAGATGATGTATCAAAATCCAATCCTCCAATAATAGCCATGAGTTTTTTCTGGCGATCACATTTGTAGTTAAGGACAAATTCCTGGGATTTAAAAAAGAGGTCCAGAGTAGTGCGATAGGTCATCCTTGGGTTGTAGTAACTGTCATAGATGTGGAACCCAAGAGTGACATTAGGTAAGATCTGGCAGTCCTCATTGATCTCCTTCACAGCAAAGGCCAAGGCAAGGACGTGCTGATGAAATTTGGTGATTATACTGCAAATAATTGAAATACCCTTGTTGTAAAAGTAAGCTGACAATTCTCATAAGGCGGCATTATTTCTTAAGAATAATAGCCATTTCTTTCTTTGATAGTAATAAAAACATAATATCTTTTCTAAAATTCCTAATTATAAACCCTGATGATATCACCTAATTTGTTTAATTAAATATCTGCAAGAAAATAATCAAATTCAGAGAGCATCAAGGACCCCTCATTTCAACACTGTGCTAAAATATTCTCCTTTATTGATAATTTCTCCACAGTTTAAATTTACCTTTTACACAGTATTTCAATGACTTGTAAGAAATATATACTTTTCAAAGTTCTATATTTATTTTCTATGAGATTTTCAGAAAATGATAAATGAACAGGTTTAGCAGGTGTCACCATTTACTCTTTGTATGTTTTGGGAGGAGAGATAATGCCAAACCTTTTAAAAAATTAGCTCAATTTCAGTAAATATTCAACAATGTGTGTGAAAGTTTTTTTTAAAAAATGTGAAGAATATTATTTCTTCTGCAAGAACCAGATATAATTGAAAGACGCAGAAAGCATAGATGCCATAGAAGAACCCTACATTTATGCACAAACAGCTTTTACTTTTATAAGGGATTTTTGGACATCTGGCTAAGATTAGCAAAGGAAAATTCTTACATTGGTACATCATTAGGTCTTCTGGCAGGATGTTCATTAAATTTCATTTCAAAAAAGTGGTAAAGAATGTGGGACGCTATTCCACCAATGATGAAGTCTCCAGGCTGGTACCACTCATGTGGAACAAGGAAAGCATTACTTGCAGGGCACCTCAAAGTAGCTACTTTGTACATTGAGAAAATCAGAAAGTACATCTTGATGCTTTTGTTATTGTGAAAATGTTATATCTTCCACCCTAACCATAGGGAAATATATATATATATATTCCAATATTTCATCTAAGGATTAATCCAAGGTTTATATCTAAGAATGCATCTAAATAGAAAATCTATCATTTTTTATTTCAAGATGCATGAAAGTACAACTTGTATCTTGAATATCACAAGAACTGGAAAAGATACTCTGGCAGAAAAGAACAGAGGGTAGAAACCTGAAGCAATGTATCTGACAGTGACACTATTAACCCTTGTACCAAACTCTCTGTGGTTCATGACTTACTTTATATCTTGATTGTTGTTGAATTTAAATACCCTTCTGTGCAGCCTTTGATGTTTGGGCCAAGCTAAGAAAAAAATGGTGATTCCTCTAGGAGATAATTATTTTGTTTTGATGAGATAATGTCTGATGATTCATCTATTTTTTAAAATCAGCAATTGCCAGCAAAAGTAGTATAAATGATGGATTCCAGTGAAGATGGAGAACTGATGACATGCCCGGGGAGAGAGATTTATTTATTTATTAAATGAAGGATACAAAGTTGTAATTTGAAGCTTAGTCTGCTTTGCTGTGGGTGGCTAAAATGTTCTGATTTTTATGATTCCTTCTTGGCCAGCAAATCCTAAGGGACTTACAAAAAAGTAACTCTTTGACTAAAATGGGAATTAAAGAGGAGAAAATTATGAGAGATGTATTTGAAAAATCATTAAATAAAACTCATTAGTTCATAAAATAAAACTCATTAGTTCATAGATCAACTATTCAAGTATGTTAAAAAAAACCTACTCAAACTCCTTCAGAGATACAGTTATGTGTAGAAAGTTATCAAACCACCAAGGCAATTGCATAAGTAGGTGGTAATGTAGAGGAGTTAATTGCAATTTTGGAAACTTTATTAATGACATTTCCCATTTGAATTGTTATTGCCTTGGGAACGCAGGAGAACAACGGGGAGATGAGAAGCCTGTTCTCTATAATCTTAGAGCTTCCACACGCTCCTACAGACATTTGAGAGGTACGACTCCCCATAGGAATGCACAAGGAGATGCAAGTCATGACTGTAAGGATTCCGCCCCTCTCCTTTTAAGGAAGATTGCATACCCCCAAGTAATGAGTGAACACACGAACAACAGTGAAGGGACATCCCCCTCAGAAAAAGGGGTCAGCAATCAATTTGTGGGTGCCACGAATTCTGGAGAGGGTGTTAAAATCACCCCCATTGAAGAGAAAATAGAAAGGGGAGTTAATAAAGTGATACGAAGGATCGGGAAACAGGATGATGTAAAGACAATGGAATCATGGGCTACAGAGACAAACAATGAGGGTATAGTTTTGAAAGAGGATCGTAATCAGAGAAACAGGGGGAGGAGAAGAGAAATAGAGAGTACCAAGAAGGAGGATGAGGTGAATAAACAACATAAACACAGATAGTGCACATCTAATTACGTGGAATTAAGGAGTCCCCCCGACTTACAGTTATGCAAAGAAGGGAGGAAGAGCTGCCGTACCAGCACAAGTAAGGAAAGTGAGGGAATTACAGCTTGCAACACAGAAACTACGATCAAAATGCAGGTGGATTGGCTGGGACCCATGACGAGGTCAAGAAGCCGGGTGCAAAGAACGCCACACTTATAAATAGCTTCTCCCATCGACTGGAGACCACCCTGATGATGCTGGCAGATGCCAGCGAAAGCTTGGTTTTATTCTGGTTTTATTAAAACTTTTTATAGTTTTATAACTTCCTGGTGTTCGTATATTTTATTGTTTAATATATATATATGTTTTCTGAGGTTTTCGCGGGTATTTGTATATAGGTCTTTGGTTGTTCGGGTTTTCTCCCGCGTAAAATTGGAAGTGTCTTGGCAACGTTTCGACGAAGTCACATTCGTCATCTTCAGGCTGGTGTTTTTAGCTTCTTGCTTTGAGCAGCAATGTGTGGTTTTAGCTGTTTCTTCCTTTTAACTGCCAGTGAGGGTATGAACTGATTGGATGGGAGCTTGGCTGTGTTCTGATTGGGTGGAGGTGTGTTCTGAATGGTTAGGGGCTTGGCTGTGCTCTGATTGGCTGGGGGAGTGTTCTGTTTGGTTGTGCTCAGGTTAGTCTGAGTTGCAGAGGGGTTTAAGATTTTGGGGTTAGGGAGTCGTTTGTCAATAAGGGCAGGTTTCCAAATGGCTGGTAGGCGGGAGGTATCATCTCGCTTGTTCATGCTGTGTGGGCGTTTTTCTATCTCGATGGCTTCTCTGATTATTCTGTTATTAAAATGTTCACTTTTGGCAATGGTTCTGGTATTTTTAAAGTCAATTTCATGTCCTGTGGCTTTAAGGTGTTGGACCAGGGAAGATGTTGGTTCCTCTTTTTTGACTGAGTTCTTATGTTCTTCAATGCGTGCACTTATTCTTCTGTTGGTTTGTCCGATGTATGTGGTGGGACAAGTGGTGCATGGGATTTCGTATACTCCTTGATTTTCTAATTCAATTTTATCTTTGGGGTTTCTAAGGATGGTGGATATTTTTCTGTTTGTGCAGAATGCTGTTTTGATGTTGTGTTTATGAGGATCTTACTGATTCTGTCTGTGGTGCCTTTTATGTATGGGAGGAGGGCTTTGCCGTTTTCTTGTTCTTTGTCTTGGATTTTAGTGGGGGTTTCTTTTTGGATTAGGTTTGTAATCTTATTTCTATGGAATCCATTGGATGTTAGTACATTGGTGAGAGTGTGTAGTTCGGGTTTTAGGTGTTGTTCGTCAGCTAAGCGTTTTGTTCTGGAGATGAGTGTCTTGGCTACAGAGTTGATCTGTGCTGGGTGGTGGTGTGAGAGAGCGTGCAGATAGCGGTTTGTGTGTGTTTTCTTCTGGTAGATGGTGTGTCCTAGGGAGCCATTGGATTTCTTGTAGACTAAGACATCCAGGAAGGGAAGTTGGTTGTTAGCTTCTGTTTCCATGGTGAACTGTATTTTGGGGTGTAGGCTGTTGAGGTGTGTGAGGAAGTTGTCCAGTTTTTCTTTCCCATGTGGCCAGATTATGAAGGTGTCGTCTACGTATCTGAGCCAGAGTTTGGGTTTGTGATCCGATTTTTCTAGAGCTTGGGTTTCAAAGTGTTCCATGTAGAGGTTGGCAATGACAGGTGAGAGGGGTGATCCCATGGGTGCTCCTTCTGTTTGTTTGTATTTTTGTCCATTATAGATGAAGTATGTGTTGGATAGGCAGTGGTTGGTCAGATCTAAGATGTGTTTGGGGGGGTTATATTTGTTTTGAATAGCTGTCAAGGCTTCTTTGATAGGCACTTGGGTGAAGAGGGATATGACATCGAAGCTCACTAGTAGGTCGCTGGGCTGTAAGCTTTGTTTCTTTATGATCTCTATAAACTGGAATGAGTTTTTTACGTGTGAGGTGATGGATTCTGCATAGGGCTGTAGTTGTTTGGCGAGAAATTTGGCTAGGTTTTGTAGAGGTGAGCCTATGGAGCTGACTATAGGTCTGAGTGGGGTTCCTTCTTTGTGTATCTTGGGGAGACCATAGAGTTTGGGGCATCTGGATGATTTCTCTCTGGGAATGATTCTTTGCTGGATCTCTTCGCTAATGGGGGAGGCTTTTATTTTGGATCTGGTGGTTTTTTCCAGGTAGGTGGTGGGATCTGTATTTAGGGGTTTGTATGTGGAGTCTTGGAGTAGGTTGGTTAATTTGGTTTGGTAGTCAGATGTGTTCATAACCACCGTGGCGTTGCCCTTGTCTGCTGGTAGGATTATTATGCTGGTGTCTTCTTTCAGGTTACGTAGTGCTGTCTGTTCCTCTTTGGGTAAGTTGCTTTTGGGTGGCTTGCTGGTGCAGAGGATGTTGGTGATTTTGAGTCTGATTTTGTTAGCGTCATCGGGGTTGATTTTGGTCAGGCTGGTTTCAACTCCACATATAATGGTTTCAGTGGGGATGTGTTTGGGAGCGACTGCAAAGTTGAATCCTTTGGAAAGGACATTGGTTTCGGCTTTGGTGAGGATCCTATCTGAGATGTTATGCACTGTTTGTTTCATGTGTGGCTGTGAGGGAGGAGGGGTTTGTTTCTGGCGTTCTTGTAGTCTTCGGAGTTTGTTGGTGTGTGTATCTGTCTTGAGGGTGGTCTGATCACAAACCCAAACTCTGGCTCAGATATGTAGACGACACCTTCATAATCTGGCCACATGGGAAAGAAAAACTGGACAACTTCCTCACACACCTCAACAGCCTACACCCCAAAATACAGTTCACCATGGAAACAGAAGCTAACAACCAACTTCCCTTCCTGGATGTCTTAGTCTACAAGAAATCCAATGGCTCCCTAGGACACACCATCTACCAGAAGAAAACACACACAAACCGCTATCTGCACGCTCTCTCACACCACCACCCAGCACAGATCAACTCTGTAGCCAAGACACTCATCTCCAGAACAAAACGCTTAGCTGACGAACAACACCTAAAACCCGAACTACACACTCTCACCAATGTACTAACATCCAATGGATTCCATAGAAATAAGATTACAAACCTAATCCAAAAAGAAACCCCCACCAAAATCCAAGACAAAGAACAAGAAAACGGCAAAGCCCTCCTCCCATACATAAAAGGCACCACAGACAGAATCAGTAAGATCCTTCATAAACACAACATCAAAACAGCATTCTGCACAAACAGAAAAATATCCACCATCCTTAGAAACCCCAAAGATAAAATTGAATTAGAAAATCAAGGAGTATACGAAATCCCATGCACCACTTGTCCCACCACATACATCGGACAAACCAACAGAAGAATAAGTGCACGCATTGAAGAACATAAGAACTCAGTCAAAAAAGAGGAACCAACATCTTCCCTGGTCCAACACCTTAAAGCCACAGGACACGAAATTGACTTTAAAAATACCAGAACCATTGCCAAAAGTGAACATTTTAATAACAGAATAATCAGAGAAGCCATCGAGATAGAAAAACGCCCACACAGCATGAACAAGCG